TTGTACTTTTTAATTATATTATAACTGAAATATTATTATTTCTTATTATAATATGTTTTATAATATTATAATTATATTAACCATTTTAATTATATTATTATATTCTATATCCTAATTATATAATATATTATATAAGAATAATTTTATTATATTATATTACATTTTATATATTATATTAATTATATTCATATATAAAATTTTAGTGTTATATGTAAGGGTAATATTGTCAGCATGAAAATATTAATATTCCACTTCATAATATTCCTAAAATTATAACCAAACCAATGAATCAACTTTTTTTTCATACCATTTTTATTTCCATTATCGTTATCATTTCCCCACTGTAACTAAACACACTCTAAGTGCATTAGGATCTTTCTCGTTTAAGTTAGTATTTGTATTTCTTAGAATCTCAAAAATACTTATAGAGTAGAAAACTAGACTATAATGATCATGAGTCATATATAGCCGATTATATGGACTCCAAAATAATCTTAACATAAATATCGGGACTCTAATTTTAGAATCGGAAACATGTACTCTAAATGGTCGTGGTATAATACTTCAAAAAGCTCTTAACACAAAATATCTAAAACCCCAAAGATTTTTGGAGGCGAATCCAAAAGGTATAATCAATAGTATTCCTCCCAAAAGAAAATGATGTTCAACACTAATAATGTGCAGTATTTTTCGTTAATAATAATAACAATGTTAATCATTAACGAAGAACAAAGAAAAATGACTAATTAGGGGAGAAAACACATGACAATGACAACAAGTCTTTCCAAAAATAGTGGATATTGCACTGTTTCATTCAACTTGGTGTGGCATGGAAGTCGCTTTGTGTCAATATCACATTCGATTTGCAATTGATATGGCTTGAGATGAAAGGAGGAATATAATGTCACCCACTAGGCACCAAATGGAATAATAATAATGCTAACTCATCAACTTTATCACCACCAGTGAGTAATTTCGTTACTATTTTTTCTACTGATCAAACAAAAACGTACGTATTATTAAAAACATGAGTTATAGAGCCATAATGAATAGTATCACTTTTGGTAGAAAAAGAATCGTAAAATTCGTAAATGCAATGACTCGTGTTGGCTTAGTATTATGACATATTAAAATAAAAACACTATAATTAAATTTCACAAAACTTTTACTTGATCATATGCATTGCAATAGTTTTTATAGGTCTCATAGGGAGAACACAACAAAACCGAAAGACATTATTGCTTAACTAGTTGTGAATATAAATTAGCCAAAATTAAGAAAGGTTAGAATTCTAACCCATTATATGAAATAATAGGGTTCTTTCGATAGAATTTTTAATCTCAAATATGTTAAGTTTGTGAAGCTATTTATTACCATGACGCAGAATCAGTAAGCGAAATCAACCTAATTCTTTTCTATGGATGGAAAAAAAAAAAAAAAAAAAAATCTACTTAATGTGAGGTGTGTAATTCTCGTATACATTAATCTACTTTTGAGATTCTGCGAGGTGTGTAACTCTCGATATATAACTCCCATATCAAACGTAAACAACTATAAATTTTATGTATATAGCACTTTATTGGACCTTTTCATTTTAGTCCGCAGGAAAAGATTAGAGTTTTGATCCTAACAAATATACTTTATGATTTAAAAATAACCTTCTACTAATAGTGACACACAGTTCTTGACCGTCGCATATTTGTCGGATTTACATAATTCTTTTTTTCTTTTTTTGTTTTTTCTCTATGCAAAGATTTTACATTCTTTGGTTGATTCTAGTAATGTGGACCAAAAATCACAAAGGATATTGTCGTTGCCGTTGCCAGAAAAGCTTTAAGGCTTTTTAGTTTTTACA